ATATTTACCTGGAGCTAGCCCTGCAGATAGCACTACTGGGTGATCTGAAAAGTCATAGTCAATCGATCAATAACATAATAATACTATTAGCAAAAATGTTTATTTTCAATTCACAATCTGTAGAAACAATGAGAATAGAAAAGTTCAGAACTTTTGTAAGACATCACAGTACAGTTGAAATATATATGGCAAATAGAAATCCTATATGGATGGTGTTAAAAGATAGATGGGAGGTGTTGAATGGAATTGAAGGATGGGACTAATAACAACTAACAACAAACAATAACAAGATAACTAATAATGTAGGCATGCTGTGTCCATAATAAGTGTATGGGTTGTAGGTTGGGAGCTTTTGTGAAGGAGCACAGTTAGAAAGATATGGCATATAGAAGCAAACCGGATGGACATCATGAAAATGATCGGAGAGGTTGAGAGTAGAAGAAGTTCAGGAGATAGAACAAACAAAATGTAATTATTGTAACATTGACTGTGTCCATAAAATGTAGATAGTGGGTATGGGCTGGAAGTAGAGGCCTAGGCGTTGTTGTTCACTAGTTTACTCCAAGTGGGGAAAGGGTGGCGGGGTTGGAAAGAAATAAAGGGGAACATACAGTGGGGAGAACAAGTATTTGATACACTGCCGATTTTGCAGGTTTTCCTACTTACAAAGCATGTAGAGGTCTGTAATTTTTATCATAGGTACATTTCAACTGTGAGAGACGGAATCTAAAACAAAAATCCAGAAAATCACATTGTATGATTTTTAAGTAATTAATTTGCATTTTATTGCATGACATAAGTATTTGATCACCTACCAACCAGTAAGAATTCCGGGCTCTCACAGACCTGTTAGTTTTTGTTTAAGAAGCCCTCCTGCTCTCCACTCATTACCTGTATTAACTGCACCTGTTTGAACTCGTTACCTGTATTAAAGACACCTGTCCACACACTCAATCAAAGAGACTCCAACCTCTCCACAATGGCCAAGACCAGAGAGCTGTGTAAGGACATCAGGGATAAAATTGTAGACCTGCACAAGGCTGGGATGGGCTACAGGACAATAGGCAAGCAGCTTGGTGAGAAGGCAACAACTGTTGGCGCAATTATTAGAAAATGGAAGAAGTTCAAGATGACGGTCAATCACCCTCGGTCTGGGGCTCCATGCAAAATCTCACCTCGTGGGGCATCAATGATCATGAGGAAGGTGAGGGATCAGCCCAGAACTACACGGCAGGACCTGGTCAATGACCTGAAGAGAGCTGGGACCACAGTCTCAAAGAAAACCATTAGTAACACACTACGCCGTCATGGATTAAAATCCTGCAGCGCACGCAAGGTCCCCCTGCTCAAGCCAGCGCATGTCCAGGCCCGTCTGAAGTTTGCCAATGACCATCTGGATGATCCAGAGGAGGAATGGGAGAAGGTCATGTGGTCTGATGAGAGAAAAATAGAGCCTTTTGGTCTAAACTCCACTCACCGTGTTTGAAGGAAGAAGAAGGATGAGTACAACCCCAAGAACACCATCCCAACCGTGAAGCATGGAGGTGGAAACATCATTCTTTGGGGATGCTTTTTTGCAAAGGGGACAGGACGACTGCACCGTATTGAGGGGAGGATGGATGGGGCCATGTGTCGCGAGATCTTGGCCAACAACCTCCTTCCCTCAGTAAGAGCATTGAAGATGGGTCGTGGCTGGGTCTTCCAGCATGACAACGACCCGAAACACACAGCCAGGGCAACTAAGGAGTGGCGCCGTAAGAAGCATCTCAAGGTCCTGGAGTGGCCTAGCCAATCTCCAGACCTGAATCCAATAGAAAATCTTTGGAGGGAGCTGAAAGTCCGTATTGTCCAGCGACAGCCCCGAAACCTGAAGGATCTGGAGAAGGTCTGTATGGAGGAGTGGGCCAAAATCCCTGCTGCAGTGTGTGCAAACCTGGTCAAGACCTACAGGAAACGTATGATCTCTGTAATTGCAAACAAAGGTTTCTGTACCAAATATTAAGTTCTGCTTTTCTGATGTATCAAATACTTATGTCATGCAATAAAATGCAAATTAATTACTTAAAAATCATACAATGTGATTTTCTGGATTTTTGTTTTAGATTCTGTCTCTCACAGTTGAAATGTACCTATGATAAAAATGACAGACCTCTACATGCTTTGTAAGTAGGAAAACCTGCAAAATCGGCAGTGTATCAAATACTTGTTCTTCCCACTGTATATATTTTTTTAAAGGATATTTATGTGTATGTATGTATGTATGTATGTATGTATGTATGTATGTATGTGGGTGTGTATGTGTGTGTGTATATGTATATGTATATGTGTATGTACGTATGTGTGTATGTGTATGTGTATATATATGTATATGTATGTGTGTATATATGTATATGCAGTGGGGGAAAAAAGTATTTAGTCAGCCACCAATTGTGCAAGTTCTCCCACTTAAAAAGATGAGAGAGGCCTGTAATTTTCATCATAGGTACATGTCAACTATGACAGACAAAATGAGGAAAAAAAATCCAGAAAATCATATTGTAGGATTTTTTATGAATTTATTTGCAAATTATGGTGGAAAATAAGTATTTGGTCAATAACAAAAGTTTCTCAATACTTTGTTATATACCCTTTGTTGGCAATGACACAGGTCAAACGTTTTCTGTAAGTCTTCACAAGGTTTTCACACACTGTTGCTGGTATTTTGGCCCATTCCTCCATGCAGATCTCCTCTAGAGCAGTGATGTTTTGGGGCTGTCGCTGGGCAACACGGACTTTCAACTCCCTCCAAAGATTTTCTATGGGGTTGAGATCTGGAGTCTGGCTAGGCCACTCCAGGACCTTGAAATGCTTCTTACGAAGCCACTCCTTCGTTGCCCGGGTGGTGTGTTTGGGATCATTGTCATGCTGAAAGACCCAGCCACGTTTCATCTTCAATGCCCTTGCTGATGGAAGGAGGTTTTCACTCAAAATCTCGCGATACATGGCCCCATTTGTTACTTTGGTCCCAGCTCTCTGCAGGTCATTCACTAGGTCCCCCCGCGGGGTTCTGGGATTTTTGCTCACCATTCTTGTGATCATTTTGACCCCACGGGGTGACCCCACGGGGCGTGGAGCCCCAGATCGAGGGAGATTATCAGTGGTCTTGTATGTCTTCCATTTCCTAATAATTGCTCCCACAGTTGATTTCTTCAAACCAAGCTGCTTACCTATTGCAGATTCAGTCTTCCCAGCCTGGTGCAGGTCTACAATTTTGTTTCTGGTGTCCTTTGACAGCTCTTTGGTCTTGGCCATAGTGGAGTTTGGAGTGTGACTGTTTGAGGTTGTGAACAGGTGTCTTTTATACTGAAAACAAGTTCAAACAGGTGCCATTAATACAGGTAACGAGTGGAGGACAGAGGAGCCTCTTAAAGAAGAAGTTACAGGTCTGTGAGAGCCAGAAATCTTGCTTGTTTGTAGGTGACCAAATACTTATTTTCCACCATAATTTGCAAATAAATTCATTAAAAATCCTACAATGTGATTTTCTGGGGGGGGTTTTCTCAATTTGTCTGTCATAGTTGACGTGTACCTATGATGAAAATTACAGGCCTCTCTCATCTTTTTAAGTGGGAGAACTTGCACAATTGGTGGCTGACTAAATACTTTTTTCCCCCACTGTATATATATATATAAACATGGGGGATTGGAAGTGATGCAGACAATTACGTTGATGGAAGTTACAATCTATCTGCAATATTAAGCTGATCTACCCCCAAAAAAAACACACAAAAAACAATGCAGTTCAAGAAATAGAGTTAAGAAAATATAAATGATAAAAAAATATAAATTAATAAGTAACACAATAAAATAACAATAACAAGGCTATATACATGGGGTACCAGTACCGAGTCAATGTGCAGGGGTACAGGTTAGTGGAGGTAATGTGTACATGTAGGTAGGGGTAAAGTGACTATGCATAGATAATGAACAGCATTTTGTAAATAGTCTGGCTGGCCATTTGATTAATTGTTCAGCAGTCTTATGGCTTGGGGGTAGAAGCTGTTAAGGAGCCTTTTGGACCTAGACTTGGCGTTCCGGTACCGCTTGCCGTGCGGTAGCAGAGAGAACAGTCTATGACTTGGGTGTCTGGAGTCTTTGATAATTTTGGGGGCCTTCCTCTGACACCGCCTAGTATATAGGGCCTGGATGGCAGGAAGCTTGGCCCCAGTGATGCACTGGGCTGTACGCACTACCCTCTGTAGCGCCTTACGGTCGGATGCCGAGCAGTTGCCATGCCAGGCGGTGATGCAACCGGTCAGGATGCTCAATGGTGCAGCTGTATAACTTTTTGAGGATCTGGGGAACCATGACAAATCTTTTCAGTCTCCTAATGGGGAAAATATGTTGTCGTGCCCTCTTCATGACTGTCTTGGTGTGTTTGGACCATGATAGTTTGTTGGTGATGTGGACACCAAGGAACTTGAAACTCTCGACCCGCTCCACTACAGCCCTGTCGATGTGAATGGGGGCGTGTTCGGCCCTCCTTTTCCTGTAGTCCACGATCATCTCCTTTGTCTTGCTCATGTTGAGGGAGAGGTTGTGTATGAAATGTAATGTCATGTAATATTTTAAATAATATATAACTGTGTTAATTCTGCTGGGGATCCTTAATAAATACAAATACTCACATCTTAGTCCAATATCCAAATGTATGTCACTATCTCAAGTATATCTCTCACATTGAGAGAACGTTGCAATGAGAGATGTTACAGTGAGAGATGTGTACAGTGACAATGTCCATTATATAAATGCATTGTAAGAATGTAGTTTACTTACATGGTGCATAGTGTAAATTGTATCAATGACAGCTAGATTTTCCCGCTTGCAAAATGTAAACAACAGTGTTTACTGTTTTCACCCCCACCTCTTGTCTTCTGACGTACTACACAGGGGACCGCCCCTTCTCTGTCTCTCAGTCACGCAGCAGCTACGTGTGAGCGTAAAATAGAGAAACTTCCAAGATGGCGGAGTCCGTAGGATCCATGCATTTCTCAGCTAATGGCAAAACAAATCCTCCAAACCCCTTGTTACCCAAAATACCACCGGAGAGTCGACTACAGTCTTCCAACGCTGTCCACCCTCCACCGCCAAAGAAAGTCCGAATCGAGGAGAAGAGTTTGAAACACAGGAAATTGAACGGGGACGTAATGTGTGCAGGGGAAAAACACAACGGGAAGCAGAGTTATGGGAGCCCAGCGAAATGGAGTTTCGGCCCGGCCAAGCCGAGCAACTCCACCTCGCCAGCTCCCGCACGAAAGATCTTCAAGATCAGCAACTTTCTCGCCTCTCCTACGAAAGTGAAGAAACCGAATGAGAAAAGGCACAAGGAAAAAGATAAGAGCGCTAAAACGCAGAGTTCACTCATGGAGAAAGGGAACCTTGGGAGTTGCCATACAAAGACGGAAAATTGTGATGTAAATATGTTACAGCGAGGTAGGGTCAACATTGTCAGTCTTTTGAATGTAAAAAGTCATGAACTAGGTTTGAAATTACTAAAGCCAGCTGATAACATTAGTTAAGCAGTGCTACTGTGCAGTATGCCGATATAATGCCACTAGGCCCAGTAGATTATTACACCACTAATTGACAGAAAGGCCTACAGTTTAGATTAAGTTGAATGAAGTGTTGATGGATCAGAATCAATGTGTTTATTACTTAATCTGTATTAAATTTCCGTATTTTAGAACACACTGGCAAAGACGAGGAGAGAGAGAAGAAAAAGGAGAGTGATAAAGAGAGGGACAGGGAGAAGAAGAACCACCAAGTTATGGTTGTGAATGATGTAGGGAGGGAGAACAGAGAGGTGAAATCTCCACTGAAAGGTATGGGTGAGATAATAAAAAATAAATCAGTCTTAATGGTGATTACATTGAGATTCAATGCCATGTTGGTCATTTCCATGTCAGAGATGTTCACACTGTTTTAGCTTCCCCCTCATAATAAATTGAGTCAAATGCTGTGAAGTAGGTAGGTCATGTACCAGGACTGGTGCCTTCAAGATGTATGCACACATCTTATTTACAGCTATTGGCTTACACAGTCTTCTCTTCCTTACAGAGTCAACAGAGAAGCCAAAAGTCAACTCGGAGGACGAGCTCCTCTTGAAAAAGCTAAAGAAGAAGAAGAAGAAAAAGAAGCACAAAGACTGCGAGAGGGCGAGACGCAGCCGGCCCAAGATGTACCACCGCTCCAGCCAGACGGTGTGTTCTGGTGTAACTGTGGACCTGCCGGACCTGCTCAACACACCAGACAGGAGTAACTACAACACCAATAACAGTTTCTTCCAAACCTTCCCAAGTCCCCATCAGGATCCTTCCAGCACCACCACTGCTACCTCCATGTCCTCCATGGTCAGGGAGAGGTTGGGCTACGGCTCCCCCCTCCACAGTACCCAGTCCCAGGGCATTTCAGAGCTGGAGTTTGGCCGTCTGATCCATGTGGAGCAGCAGGCCAATGGAGGAGCCTCGGTGGCCCACGCCTACTGCCAGCAGCTGGCCTGTCTCTCCCCGGCCGAGATGCAGCGCTTCGCCCAGGAGTTTGTCACCCTGTCATTCAGCGAGGACCAAGCTGACGCGGCCCACTACGTCATGGGCATCATCCATGGAGCGGCCTCCTACCTACCAGACTTTCTGGACTACTTCTCCTACAAGTTCCCCAATGCACCGGTCAAGATGGAGGTGCTGGGGAAGAAGGATATAGAGACCACCACCATGGCCAACTTCCACACTCAGGTCAGTGGATGGATGAGAATGCTTTATAATTCTGGTGTGCTTTAAAATCATCCCAAAGAATCACCACCTCAGTACCAGCAAACTTCCACACACTGGTGCTGATTTATGTGTGACTTCAAAGTGCATGACTCTTCCCTAGGTTCTACTAATGTGACACCTTGACTCTTCACTAGGTTTTGCTAGTGTGAATCCTTGACTCTTCAGTAGGTTCTGATAGTGACTCCTTGACTCTTCTCTGTGTTTTTGTTTACTTTCAGTGTTTTTGTTTACTTTCAGAATCTGCATTTATATTTCCCCTCGACCAGGGACTCTTACTCTTGTATCCTAGCAACCCTGTTTCCTTCCTCCCTGCAGATAGTTTGAAAGGTCTACTGCTCTCTCTGAAACACCACATGGTTGAACATTCAGCGATGCTGAAGATGACAGGCAGTCACTTACTACTTAATGTGATTCTATCATGTGAACAAACACTGCAGGGTGTTGAATGATTAATAGTGGGCTTTGGTTGCCATTAGCTATGTGTATTGGGACAGATACTTGCTACTGCTAGATGTTGCTGGTATGAACTTACTCGTTATTCAAAACATTTTCTCAATAATTTTATTGTATGGCTAGATGAATTCCCTTGATCAATTACATGACTACTCACTGCGTGAGCTAGTTAAAAAGTAGCAAATCTGAATGACCACACATGGTTGTGTTCCTCACGTTTTAACCTTACGAGGTCATTCCCTCAAAGTTTCAGTTTTACAGTTAAGAATAAACATACGGCAGCAGTTTGTTTTGTTACAGTTACAGAGCTTGCACAGGTTTCAGTTGTCTCTACTAGCAGACACTCACACGGCTGCATGAGATGTACAGCGGGTTAGGTTAAACAAAGCTTTTAACATTACAGTGGCATGTACCAACTCAGTGATATCTGGCAGAGAAGCATGAGTTAAAATAGGCTTAAAGTACAGTTGTAAATGTAATATCTCCCAAATAAAGCCTGAGTAATAGTGGTTGGATGACTGTGGGACTGGGCTTACACATTTACAAACAAGAACATAATCAAATGGTGCATTTGAGCTGTTTTCCTGTTTGTGTTTGCATGCGGCGTCGGGCCTCTGAGGTAAGGAAGGTGAGAGGTTAAAGATTGTTGATATGTGAGGTCAGTGGAGCTTTGTAAACCGAGAGGTGAGTGGGCAGTGTTTCATAACCCTCAAGAGTCTACGCCCTGTCTAAACCGGGGGAGTGGTGGGGGGTTTAAGCTAACAAATGGAATTGTTTTAAGATTGTGATACCAACGATTATTTGGCTATTTGATTTTGAATTTTAATACCCCTTAAGGAAGAAAAAAAATCTTTAACAATTATTGGATGAAACATTGAATTTGGCGTTACTGCTATTAGCCAATAGAAACTCATTTGAATAACAGATTTACTACATGGAACAACAGTCCCCCAAAAAATCTAAAGGAAATTTGTTCTGAAGTTTCTGTCCTATATCTGAGAGAGATACGATTATCCCCTTATTTTAGGCACTAAACTATCTCCACTATACTTCCATTCATTTTTTGAGCTGGTTACGGGGACCTTCAGATGAGTCTTGTGCAAAACGGAGAACACCATCGTATTTGTGAGAGTCTCATCTTGCAATAGTGGTCATAATAGTTTGTAGGCCAAACCGTTCGGATGCTACAGACGTTTTCGTGAGAAGACCGATTTTCGGGATGTCTCATGGTCTGACAAACACCGCTCTAGCTCTGCCACCTTTCACCGCAGATGCGGAAGGGCGATTTCGGTGGATGTGATGGATTGAGACACAGCCCATGCAAAAAAAAACATATCTCTAGCTTAAACAGATGGATTTTGATGGGGATCTTTTTATTATGTTAATTAGATTTCCGCGGGGGTGCAAACATTTTAGGCTAAGAGTTCTAAAGGACCCTCCAGAGTAAGTTGCTGCCACTATTTCAATGTAATTTCCTGTCCTAGAGATGAAAAGCGTGTTTAGGTTTCACCTCAGAAGAATGACAAAGGCAACTTATGCATATTCACAAATTGGGTGTGGGAATTTACACATGGAGTTGATAAACAACAAATAGGCCCCCCCCAAAACAAAAGCCATATTACAACCTATGTGTTGTGATAATTGTGTTGTTTGCTCTATAACCTGTTAATTCATATGCCTTGCGACCGTGATATATATACAGTGGGGAGAACAAGTATTTGATACACTGCCGATTTTGCAGGTTTTCCTACTTACAAAGCATGTAGAGGTCTGTAATTTTTATCATAGGTACACTTCAACTGTGAGAGACGGAATCTAAAACAAAAATCCAGAAAATCACATTGTATGATTTTTAAGTAATTCATTTTGCTTTTTATTGCATGACATAAGTATTTGATACATCAGAAAAGCAGAACTTAATATTTGGTACAGAAACCTTTGTTTGCAATTACAGAGATCATACGTTTCCTGTAGGTCTTGACCAGGTTTGCACACACTGCAGCAGGGATTTTGGCCCACTCCTCCATACAGACCTTCTCCAGATCCTTCAGGTTTCGGGGCTGTCGCTGGGCAATACGGACTTTCAGCTCCCTCCAAAGATTTTCTATTGGGTTCAGGTCTGGAGACTGGCTAGGCCACTCCAGGACCTTGAGATGTTTCTTACGGAGCCACTCCTTAGTTGCCCTGGCTGTGTGTTTCGGGTCGTTGTCATGCTGGAAGACCCAGCCTCGACCCATCTTCAATGCTCTTACTGAGGGAAGGAGGTTGTTGGCCAAGATCTCGCGATACATGGCCCCTTCCATCCTCCCCTCAATACGGTGCAGTCGTCCTGTCCCCTTTGCAGAAAAGCATCCCCAAATAATGATTTTTTCCACCTCCATGCTTCACGGTTGGGATGGTGTTCTTGGGGATGTACTCATCCTTCTTCTTCCTCCAAACACGGCGAGTGGAGTTTAGACCAAAAAGCTCTATTTTTGTCTCATCAGACCACATGACCTTCTCCCATTCCTCCTCTGGATCATCCAGATGGTCATTGGCAAACTTCAGATGGGCCTGGACATGCGCTGGCTTGAGCAGGGGGACCTTGCGTGCGCTGCAGGATTTTAATCCATGACGGCGTAGTGTGTTACTAATGATTTTCTTTGAGACTGTGGTCCCAGCTCTCTTCAGGTCATTGACCAGGTCCTGCCGTGTAGTTCTGGGCTGATCCCTCACCTTCCTCATGATCATTGATGCCCCACGAGGTGAGATCTTGCATGGAGCCCCAGACCGAGGGTGATTGACCGTCATCTTGAACTTCTTCCATTTTCTAATAATTGCGCCAACAGTTGTTGCCTTCTCACCAAGCTGCTTGCCTATTGTCCTGTAGCCCATCCCAGCCTTGTGCAGGTCTACAATTTTAACCCTGATGTCCTTACACAGCGCTCTGGTCTTGGCCATTGTGGAGAGGTTGGAGTCTGTTTGATTGAGTGTGTGGACAGGTGTCTTTTATACAGGTAACGAGTTCAAACAGGTGCAGTTAATACAGGTAATGAGTGGAGAACAGGAGGGCTTCTTAAAGAAAAACTAACAGGTCTGTGAGAGCCGGAATTCTTACTGGTTGGTAGGTGATCAAATACTTATGTCATGCAATAAAATGCAAATTAATAACTTTAAAATCATACAATGTGATTTTCTGGATTTTTGTTTTAGATTCCGTCTCTCACAGTTGAAGTGTACCTATGATAAAAATGACAGACCTCTACATGCTTTGTAAGTAGGAAAACCTGCAAAATCGTCAGTGTATCAAATACTTGTTCTCCCCACTGTAGGCCTAAAGGCCGAGACAATAAGTAGACAGTGGCACAATAATTTCAACCACACCTTTGTTTTATCACAAAACCGGATGGCAACCTCAGTCAAGTCCACAAAGCATATTGCATGTAACAGGCAGTTACATGACCTACAGCATGGTCAAGCAAGTTAATGTTTCTGACATTTTCGGACCACTAAACAACTATTGATTTAGAACCACAGAGAGTTACCGGAAGTCGCAAAGAAAACAGGAGCTGCCTCCACTATTCCAGCACCATTTCAACTTCAACATCATCAAATTACCTCTGCTTAGTCTAATACAGTGACAACTAAAAGATAGCAAAAACAATTTAGTCCAATCAACGTGAGCTAAATATGAGGTGGCTGTCCATGGTTCTGATTTCTGTGTGTGCGCGTACGTGCAAGTAAAAAAACATGTTGACTCACCCTACTTGTAGAGAAACGCCAATGCCATCCTCCTCTTTCATTTTGACGAAACGGTCTATCACTGTCATACAGTGCACGCTTTAATTTTTTGTTGTCCTAGGCTACCTGACAAATTATTGCTCGCTAGCCTAACTTCCATTCATGGGCAACGATAGCTAGTTAACGTTAGCCTTCTACATCTAGCTACATATTGAACTTCCATCCTCTCAGGCCAGGGGCACAACAATGTATTAATTAATGGTTGGATCAGAATCGCCGTTTATAATCATTGGCCAGCACAGAGAATTAAGTAAAACCACAAGTCCAAATCCCTTTCTCCATCCATGGCTAATTTTGGAAAGGGCCAATTTTAGCTAGCTAGCTAGCCACCGGAGGACAACAACACAACAACGTATGCTGTCAATGGGATTTGATAGGAGTGATGCCAAAATCTGTCTTCCCTTGACAGTTACTTTTGGGTGCGCCAGGACCATTCACAGTTGAGCTCGCTCAGTTTAGCTCAACGCTAATTTTTTATACTTTTTTTATCAAGGGAGGCCAAATGCTCGCTGGCTTACCTTGCCTTCAATGCTACGGGCAGCAACAATGTCATACTCGTTTGGACCAGACAGCATCAGATAGATGGCGGCAGGTAGCTTAGTGGGTAAGAGCGTTGTGCCAGTAACCGAAAGGTCGCTGGTTCTAATCCCCGAGCCGACTAGGTGAAAAATCTGTTGATGTGCCCTTGAGCAAGGCACTTAACCCTAATTGCTTCTGTAAGTCGCTCT